TAGCTTCCATTTTCCATGTCTGCTGTAGCTGGTTCCCTTTCTTTTTCTTCTACATTTATCTGAGTTTCTTTTTTCTTTCTTTTCTTGTAGGCATGGTCAAATTGGATCTTCCCATGGCCTCTTGTTTTTTTAATCTTTTAGTTATTTATTTGGTACAGGGTGTCACAATGCAGCTGAGATTCATAGTGATCTTCCTGTCTCAGCCTCCCCAGCACTGGGATTATAGGCATGCACCACCACATCATTTTGGTGACCAGTACAGTGCATCCGGGGTTCTGGGCCTGGTGCAGCATGTAGTACTGGGGATCAAACCTGGGTCCTTGCACTTGCCAGGTAGGCGCTTAAACTGCCTAGCTATCTCCCCAGCCCTTCCCATGAACTCTTCCTTCCCTAACGATCCAGTAAGCATGTCTTCTTTGAAACTGTCTTGGTGTTTTCCTCATTTTGATTCAACAGTTAATTCAGAGTTTTCCCCCTTAGATAATAATGAGCCAACACTTCTACATCACTGGACTCACTGACTTGCACACTGTGCTGTAGACATTCAGTAAATATTTGCTGATTAACACAAGAATTAGAGGACAAAAACACTTGTGTTGCAAATTAAGCATATCAATTTTATTATGGGCACTGTGTGTCATAATAGGCTAAGTTATAATTGAGTCCTCCTTTTATGTAATCAAGCTTGTCAACAACTATTGGTCATATGTCAGGCATCAGCTAAAACTCTTACCTACTAAATGTAACCATACATTGTTCTTTTTACTACACTAATCACACTGCAATTGTTTCTTCATTGTCTCAACTCCCCCCGCCCACCCACAGATTCCACTTGAGCAAAGGTCTGCCTTGCTCACCACCATCTTCCCAATACCTAATTACATAGTAGTCTGTCAGTCCATCCATCCACCCATCCTTCCCTCCCTAGATAACCAGCCAAGCAACACTGTACCATTGACTTCCAGAGCCTCAAATTGCAGTTCTGGTCTTTCAAGCTAAGATATGGTTAGCCACTTTATTCCAAAAAGACTCCCATTTTCGCAAGTCCCAGTTTTTGTACCTAGGAATTTTCAGACCTCAAAAATGTTCTTTAATGATCATTTAGTTCATATATAACATGACAAACTCCATAACACCAAATGTTTAATGTTCTTTCACATTAATTCTACCTACACATGAAGACAATGGAAATGTACCGTATATCTATTCAACTTACAAGAATTTAATTACCACCTTCAGTAAAAACAAAAGAGAAAAAACAAATGGTTCACACAGTATATGCTTCACAGTGAGTACAAAATAAGCACTAGATTTCTACTATCCCTTTTCAGTTCTTACACGCTTCACAGACAAGCAAACTAGTTCATAAATGCTAAAAATAATAAATAGTATGCTGTTCCAACACAGGGCAATAATTGGCTGTGTTGGGCTTTCTGAGAAATCATGTCAGTCTCTGATATGATGCCTTCTTGGAGTACTTTAGAGTACTCAACTTTCACCTTATCCATGAAATTCAAAACAGACATTGCATTAAATGCAATGCTACTATGTATTGGGGTGGGTTGCTTACATGATCCCCAAGTTTCTTCTCAACTACAGGCATATTTAGGTAAATACAGCCCAATGTGCTTGGAGCTACCATTATGAAAAACACCAAACATCTCTTTTCTTCTTCCTGTCTCAGTAATATCTAAATGAGAGTTATCATTTAAAACTTAAGACATATGAATAGAACAAATGTCAAAAAGAGAAGTGGTGAGAAACAGTAATATCAGAGACCTTCCTACAGTGCTTATTACTACAAATCATTAGATACAAACAAGCAAGGTGCACCCATTCTAGAAAAGAAAGATCTAACTCCAAATCATAATACATAGAACAATAGTAAGAAGGAAGCCCACAAATATCTATGCCTTAACAGTATCATATGTATAAACATGGAGACAAATGATATGAGAGAAATGGCTTCTTTCTAGATTCCAGTAAATCCCTACTATCATGTGAATCTCTCTTCTGGGACCCAATCCAGCCCCAAAGATATCTCCCTGAGAAGTACATGAGCCTGTGTAGGCTGCCTTATATTCTCTCTTCTTTGAATAACAGGCGTGGGTAGGGGCTGGGGAGATGGCTCAGTGGAATAAGTGCTTCCCTGGCAAGCACAAGGGCCTGAGTTCAATCCCTGGTTCCGCCAAAAAAACAAACAAACAAAAAAAAAAACAAAAAAAAAAAACAGGCGTGGGTAAATTCTTCAGAGTTAAATGCACAATGGATAGAATTCCACTCAGGTATAGCAGAGTAGATGGTGGCCTTCTGTATTAATTCTAATTGGGTAAATTATCATCTCAATTACACCTGGTTAGATGTCAAGAAGGAGGTAATCACAAAAAAAAAAAGTATGCCCCCTCCCAAAAGAGCACGAGGGAGCTTCTTGGTGAACGAGAGAGGGGGAAAAAAAGTTAAAAATATCCCAGCACCCTTAGGGTCTTTCCTTTGAAAAGTTGTTTCTCCTCCACTCTCACTGTGTGATCTCGGTGGGGCTGACAATCAAGTTCCCTATGAGCCTAGCAGAAGAGTAGTCATATGACATTTTCATGTTCAATCTGAACAATCAGGGTCCTTGCCAGGAATTTGTAAATACTCAAAACAGATTTCTGTCTACTGGAAGGAAGGCCCATAAACTTGGAGGGTATAACATACGAGTTGTCTAGAGTCTGTCTTTTGGATGTTTATATAATAGAACGGGGCTTGCAATTAGAGAAACAGAGGTGGGTACAAAGAAATTAGGAAGTCCTTCTGTGTGTTTGAGAGTATACACAAGAATATCACTTTGTGAAGGACTGGCAAGATAGCTCAGCAGACTAAGCGGCATCTTAAGCAAGTGCAGAGACCACAGTTCGATCCACAGTCCCACATAACACGCCAGCCCTGCCCCTGAGGTGCCCTGAGCCAGCAAACAAGTCCAGGCATGGTGGCACACAACTGTAATATCAACACTGGGGAGGCTAAAAACAGGAGGATCACTGAGTCTGAGCTGCGCAGAGAGAACCTGTACCAAATATATAAATGAAAAGAAAAAGGAGAGAGAGTATCACTTTGTGATTTTTGTGGCACCCTCTCGCTGCCCAGATTTATGAGCCTATAGATCTCTGTAGTTCCTGGCCAAAACACAGAATGCACTTCCGTAATGTTATATAGAGTGAAGATAATTCAAAAATTCAGGATTTAGAATTGAGTAGTTTTTTTTTTTTTTTTTTTTGCAGAACCGGGGATTGAACTCAGACCCTTGTGCTTGCCAGGGAAGCACTTATTCCACTGAGCCATCTCCCTGGCCCCTGAGTAGTTTGATTTTAAAAATATAGAGAGAGGACATCCGAAGTAGTGGGTCAACATAAGATGTCATTTCTTTTTTAAGATGTCATTTCAACTCTGTGAAACCTATAAAGAGATAGAAAGTTACACACTAGGGGCTGGTGAGATGGCTCAGTGGTCTAAAGCACCTACTTAGAACAAACTTAGCAAAGCACAGGGACCGTGGTTCAATCCCCCAGCACCACATGCCAGCCAGCCCTGCCCCCTGGCGGGCTGAGTTGGCCACACACACACACACATAAATTTTTTTAAAAATTTAAAAAAAAAAAGTTACACACTGTATTAAGTTCTCAAATGCCCTCAATTCTCGTTCACACATAGAACTGTGTGAAATGTGTATGGAATACTAGAAAATAGCTAAGAATCATCAAAATGCCCCAATACTCTGGAAAACAGAAATCTCCTGCTGGTGGTAGTCCCAATGTACAAAAGAAATATATCAAGGAAAATCAGTATGTTATTTTGCGGGGACGGGAGATAGCTCAGTAGAATAAGCACTTGCCTGACAAGCGCAAGATCTTGAGTTCAATCCCCAGTACTGCAAAACATAAAAGTATATTATTTGGCTAGAGATCTGTAAGGAATTCTCTCACCTATAACTATGTTTCTTCGACCATATGAAGCCCAACAGTTGAAAAGTTTTCCTCATTTATGTTCACTGTGCATTCTATAGAACAGGCCTGCTATTGTAAGAGAACTCAATACCTCCTCTCTGTTTAAATTTAATCACAAACAAATCTATCTTACACAAACGTGTAGATCCTCCACCTCCACCTTAGATATACTTCAAACGCACGAGTGTCACACACAGATATACACAACTGGCTGTAATTATCTCCCAGACACAGATATCTATAATAGACCTGGCAGCACCAGCTAACGTTTATGTTTACTTTGCTTGTATACCTGTGTACCTGTTTGGGGTGGGGGCGGGACAGCGGGGTAGAGCGGTCAGTGCAGGTGACACAGGCCTTGCTGTGTACTTTAAAACAGTCTAGGGAGTGGAGGGGACCTGGCTGGCTGGAGAAGGCTCCCCGCATGTTCCAGATAGTCCAACGCCACGCCTACCTCACCCTACCTGAGACTCTTTAACGCACACTCATTTTGTACGCCCAAACACTCCGGACAGCTACCTCCCTCCTCTCCTAGGGCCACACCTGGAGACCTAGCCAAAGCACAGGAGGGACCACAAACTTTGGGGACCCGCTTTGCACCCTGCTGCCATCACATCCACATACGCCTCGCGGGAAGCCCGGCCGGTCCAACCCGCAGCTCGCACACCGATCCCGACAGGTGGCCACCTCCAGGCCGACGGCCGGCTGCGCGGCGGTCCCGCCGGAGACAAGGGGTGGAGCGGGATGGGGGGTCCCCCAGGTCCCGCTCTCCCGGCCGGGGCAGTGGGCGCGCTGGCCCTCAGCCTCGCGCTCGTCTGCCATCTGCAAGCGAAAGTGCGCGACCCAGTCCCACGGCCAGCGCAGGGCACGCCCTCCGCCCCGGAGGCAACCCCTCGCGGCCGTGGCCCGGGTCCAGGAGCGCGTCACCGGCTGGCGTCAAGCCCGGAGGCCGCGCCGCTGCCGCGCGGGTGTCAGGGACGGGGCTCAGACACCTGGCGGCGCTCGCTCTCCCCTCACCTGGTGCAGTCTCTCACCCCAGGGACCAGTCCGCCGGCCCGCTCTCGGGACACGCTTCACCTCAGCTGCCAGCCATTCCGGGCCCGGCACCGCGTCCACGTAGCCCCGCCCCCTGCTCCCGTTAACGCAGGCGCAGTGCTGCTGCTGCCGACCGCCCTTCCGCTTTCTCCCGCCCCTCCCCCGCCCTTTCTTCAGGGTGATGCCACGCCCCTATTTAAAGGGCCAGCCTCAGCGGACGGCCTTAATGATTACTGTCTGAAGGACCACAAATTTGGAAATATCACAGGTGGAGGCAGAGCCAATAAACAGCAGTCTCTGAGAGGAGAGAGCAAGTCTTTCAACTCCAAGTTAGTGAATTTACCCGGCCTTCAAGAACGGTAGTCTGGGGCTGGGGAGATGGCTCAGTAGGATAAGCACTTGCCTGGCAAGCGCAGTCCTGAGTTCAATCCCCAGTACCGCCCCCCCCCAAAAAAAAAACAGCTCAGCGGATTAAAGCGCTGCAGGGGGTTTGATCCCTGGGGCTGCTGTGCCCGCCCTGCCCCCAGACGTGCTGAGCCAGCAAATAGGATTGGGAGCGCTTGTAATCCCAGCTCTTGGG